AATTTCTTGTCTCTGAGAGATCACACCAGCAAAAATAAGTGAGAACATGGATGACCTGAATACTTCAAGCATTTATTTAGTAAATACATATTGAACTTCATACACTGTGGACATGACTTTTCCATCGGCATTTATTGAACATTTATAGACTTACTCATTTAATGGAGCACAAAATAAAATGGTAATGAATTCCTCAAAGTAGAAACCAGTATGAACCTTATTTTCTGACCACAACACACAATGATTTTAATCTCTCTCTCTCTCACACACATACACAAAATAAAATATCTAAAAGAAAAATGAAAACTATAATTACAGAGTATTTAAAAATGAATGAAAATGGGAACACTTTAATATGGTCAAAGCTGAACTCAGAGGAAAATTCATAACCTTGGGTTAATTTTTTACCTTAACAAAGAATGACAGTAAGTGAACTAAGCACATGATCTTCAAAAAGCTGGTTTGAAAGGAGGCAATAGACAAAGAAAAATATTGCCAGGCATAGAAAAAGTTGAGGTCAGGCACATAACCTGAGAACCTGAGTAAATGAGGCCAGTCAAGGAAATCTAAAGATGATCTACCATTTTTCTCTGAAATAGGTATTATACTTTTCCAGGGTGTATTTTCAGGACTTCAGCATATCCTGACTTCCAGAAAACACAGAAGATGTTCAATAGCTTTTTAAACTTGATGATGCGTTGATAAGAAAATATTTGCCTCTTTCATTTATAAAAAGGAACTATAAAATGAATTGCTATTATTTTGCTAAAATTTCAAGGTGCAATTAAAAGTTTCTACAGCCCACAGGAAGACTGAGGACTATTTAAAACTCCTAATAAGAAAGCTGAGAAAAACAAAACAAAACAAAACATGTTCTAATGGCCAGAAACACCAGGTGTTGTACAAAACACACAACAGAATGGCAACTGAGCAGAATCCAAGTGACCGTTACTGGATGTCATTAAACTAGTTTTAATTTTTTTTGTCTGTGTTGTTTGTAAGGGTTTTGTTTTGGGATAAATCTGTGGATTATACTTGCTCACTCAATTTCCTGAAGATGTGATTTTGGGCAATTCTGAATTTTCTTTTATTCCCCGATTTATACCAGCCTATGTCCTGCTGGTCAGTAGTTGCTAAAACTTTCAGAGCAAGATAAAGTTACTACTGTTTCTCCTGCTTTTTTCATCCCTTGGGGACACAGATCCCATGTTCACCTCCTCTCTAGAGATTCAGATTCCACAGTAGATGATCTTTTAGCTTTTATTTTTACTATGATTGTACACTTCGTTCTTTTCAATATTTCACAGGTGTCTTAGTGAAATGCAGGAAGAGAGGGGATATTAGGGAGCATTGGAGCTATTAGTTGGATGCAATGTTATATGAGAATTCTCTACTGCAGCATTTCCCGAACTATATTCCTTGGGATGTCATGAGGTGTTCCATGGTTCTAAGTCTCCTCTTAGAGATTCACCATGAAAGTTACCAAGTTAAAGGCTCTAAAAGTCCTGAGTGGAGAAGTCTGGTTCACTTTATCTAAATCAACGCTTCTGTTTGAGCGCGTAACACTTTCTCACAGTGCATGGGCCCAGCTCTAGGTTGGGTTGACCAGTAATTTCCTCCTGGCTCTCTTCTCCTTGGAGCGGCCAGTGACCTGGACCTGCTTTTGGACTTTCGTGGGTCTTTTTTTGGACTTTTAGCAGGACTTGGCACAAGGCTATTTACATATGTTGTGATCTTTTTATGGATTTTATTTTTCTCTCTTTAATAGCAAAGAGGACTAACTACTAAGCTCCCCCTAGCTGCTTTAAATATGTAACCCAGATGCTGGACTCTTCCTCTTGATGGAAGTGTGTGTGTGTGCTTGGTGTGTAGTTACAGTGGTCTGTGCTATCAACCCTACTGGTAGCCAGCTGGACAAATACAATGGGTTCTCTTTGCAGCCCCACTGCCCACACTAAGGGGGCTCAGTCTGCTGGTGATGGGGGTAAAAGTCTGATCTTGACCTTCTGGATCCCTGAGGAAAGCTCAATCACTTCTTTATTTCAAATCCACCATGATCGAACCCACATCCTATAGCATTGGTGAAGTGTCGGGCATGGCTCCCCGGGTTAGGTATACGTACACCATGGCTCAACTGGAGGCAGGGCCAGGAGGTGAGGGGGTACACGTCTGTTTGCTCACACTGCGAAGAATACTTCCCAGGCCTTTGTTCTTCCTCATATTAGCACTTTCCTCTCCTTCCCTGTTCCCTCACCGGAGTTTGTCTCCTGAGGCCCTCATGTCATCCCCGTCTTGGAAACCTTCAAGACTTTGGTAAGTCATAGCTGTCCTTGTTCTTGCTATTTCTGCAGACAGGCGAGAGAAAAAATGCTGTGGCTTCTAAAATCTCTCTCTCTCTCTCTCTCTGCATCTGTGGCAGTCTGTACTATGAAGAACACCTGTCTTTTTCTCTGATATCTAGATGACCAGATCTCCAAGGCACACTAGATATCTTGCATTTGGAGAGCATTTGATGTTTTCAAAACCTTTTGGGCCTTAGTGTGTATAAAGCATATGTTTTCTCCTTTCTAACATTGGCTCAAATTACCGAGTCCCTGTTCCAGTGATCTATTTCTGTATAAAGCAATAAATCACTCCAAAACTTAGTGACTTACTGGAGAAGTGTGTGATTTCTCCTCTGGGCCCCTCCTGCATGGTGGCTCAGAGTAGACAATCTTACATGGTGTCTCAGGATTCCCAGGGTGAGTGTTCCACAAGATCAAGGCAGAAACTGCAAGGACTTTTGACCTAGCCCTGGAAGTCATGCAATATCACTCCCGCTGTATCCTGTTGGTCACATAAGACCAGCTCTGATTCAGTGTGGAAGTGGGCTGCTCAAAGGCAGCAATGTCTGGAGGCAGGGATCACTGGGGGCCCCGTTGGAGGTTGGCTATCACAGCCTCCTGTTCAACTTCAAAAGACAACCTGATTTTTTCTTGGTTAATCCTCACCCAGGGATATATTTTTTTTCCATTGATTTTTAGAGAGAGTGGAAGGGAGGGAGGGATGGAAAGAGTGAGAGAAAGTGAGTGAGAGAGAGAGAGAGTTTGATGCGAGAGAAACACATCAACTGGTAGCGCCCGGCATGTGTTCCAAGTTGGGAGGGGATCAAACCTGCAACCTTTTGGTGCGTGAAGTCGGCAGATGCTCCAACCATGGAGCCACGTCAGTCAGGGCCAAACTGATTTTTTAAAATGCAAATTAAATTTGCATACAGTGTGACAACACCTTACCCAAGAGCTTCAGTGGATATTCTACCAGAAAGAAGAGATCAGGACACACACGTTTTCTATGCTCCTTCCAGCCACTGTGTTATTTTTATTGAATGGAATATTGAATTAGAGGCAAAGAGAGTTGGTACTTCAGCATTCCACATTACAGAACGGCAGTCATATTACCCACCCTGGCTCTCAAAGAATCCATTTGACTCTATACACTCAGTTTTGCACGTTGTATCATAGAGGGAGGACATTTTGGAGGCTGGCGCTAAACCAAGAGTAAGGCATCCAAACTACTGTGAATCCAGCAACCATCCAATTTCAGCTCCCAACTTCATGCTGAGCAGTAACAAAGAAAAAATACATGGAGACAGATGATGCTTTGGTTTCCCAATGATGCTTGCATGCACAGGATGCATCCACGAAAGTCTTTTGAAAACCAATTGTTCTAATGGTTTTATTGCTCTGCAACAAAATGCATCAAACTGACATTGATTCCAAGGTCATTGTGAAATGAAGTCTAACCTTATTAAAGAGGAATAGGATGCAAGTTTGAATGAGGAGGAAGGCATCACAGTATATTGCATTCTTGTAAACATTAGTACAAGTTCAGAGTAGCAGGGACTCCCCTAGTTGATGCTAAATAGGCCCCAAGTTACTTTGCTTTCAGAGGCTGAAGCATTAAGAATTCTTTTCCATTTTACATCTGCTAGGGTATAATATACTGTCCTAAAGAAGAATGGATTCCAATTTGGCTACTTTTCTCCTAAGATGCTGTTGGAACTCCTCCATGTTTCTGGTCCTTTGCAAGGTGGACACAGCCTCTAAGATGGAGTCTTACAAAATGGCATGATGGAAAATTGTTCCCCTAATACAGAAGGTGTAAAAGGAAAGTGAAGCTCTTCATGGAGGCTTTTCGCCACATTCTCTTCCCCAGCTCCATCTCCTTGGGGAAATAACTTCATTACGGAAAGGGCTATATAATCTTCAATAAATAAGGGCCCTTTGCCCTACCTTACTCCCACTCTGCCCTTTGTCTCTATGCTTCCTGTCCTGCTCTGTCACCTGTCAGTCACTAGAGCAGCAGGGGAGACTGCCAGCTGTCTTTGGGTGGATCAGGTCTTTGCAGTTGGTGCCACATCAGCTGAGCTCTCACATGTAATGCACACCACTAGGACTTACTCAGAGGACAGAAGAGACAGCACAATCACAAAGTGAGGGGTCCTGAGGGAGCCCTGGAATGTTGGGGGCTAGGAAGTAGGACTTCCTCGTGCTCTCTGCAGAGGGACTGCTTGGGGACTCAAATGTGATGAAGCTCAATGGTTGGTATTGAAGACAAAGGCCTGGAACAAGAATCACACTTGGCTACATAGATCTGAACCTCGTACTGGGACCATACCGCAAACTGGAGTACACTCCATTGGGTTACCTTATACCACATGGACAGGGAGGGAGTTGAGTCCTGGGGGACAGCTGTGGTGGCTACCCTGCTATTGCCACCAGGTATGGTCTTCAGCTTTGTGAGCGACTCTCTCAGCCTCATCCCCACCTTGGGCAGCCTGGACATGCTGTGCAATGGACCCTCTGTCTTGTGGCTGACACTCCACAGTCTCAGATCCTTGAGTCTTGTCTCACTGTTTCCTGGGTGGCCGGGTCAGTGTGACAGCTCCTTTGGGTTGACACAGTGTGAGATGAGGCATTTCAGTAGAGCTTGCCTACTGCAAAAGGAGGAGGGGCCAGCAATCAGACATTTTCTAGGACATCTAGGGGGACAAGGCCTCTCTTCTTCCCACTGAGGACTCTGATGAAGCCATCTTGTTCTTCTTCAGAAGTCAGGCAGATCTGAATGCCAAGGAAATAAAAAACCAAGTGTCAACAAAAAAGAAGCTAGAACCTGCACAATGAATCACTGCCAACTGAGGTCAGTGGGACATCGCATGAGAACAGAGAGATCAGTTAGGTTGGAACTTGTGGCTCTGTGAGAAAAAGTTTGATAAAAAATTAGGCAGCCCTGCCCTGGCCGGTTTGGCTCAGCGGTTAGAGCGTCGGCCTGCGGTCCAGAGAGACCCGGGTTCGGCTCCCGCTAAAGGTGCGTGCCTCGGTTTCAGTTTGTCCCCGGCCCTGGTTGGCGGCCACTCGATATGTCCCTTTCGCGTCGATCTTTTTCTCTCTCTTCCTCTCTCCCTCCCACTCTGTCTGAACAAAAATTGGAAAAATGTCTTTGGGTGAGGATTAAAAAAAAAAAAAATTAGGCAGCCCTGACCTGGTACCTCAGTTGGTTAGAGCATTGTCCCAATACGCCAAGGTTGTAGGTTCAATCCTCATTCAGGGCACGTAGAAGAATCAATCAATGAAGGCATAAATAAGTGGAACAGCATCTCTCTCTCTCTCTTTCAAAACAATAAAAAAAAAAAAAAAGGGCAGAACCCTGGGTTTGAAACTAGGTCCAGGCATTGAGTGTTTTCTGAGATTCAGCTTGATGAATGAGGATCAAGGAAAGCTTGAGAACCTGCCATGTTTGGAAGCAGGGCAGAGCTGGGAACAGTTCTTTTCACTTAGAGGTGGAATGGAAAGACCAGCTCAGAAGATTAATTGTGGGTAGAAAAGGGTGGGAGTTGAGGGAGAATCAGAGGGACTCCTTTGGATTGAAGGATCATGAATAGGGTGACCAACTTGTTTTGGTTTGCCTGGGGCTTTCTCAATGTTAGCACTGGACATCCCCCATCCTGGGAAATTCCTTGGTCCCAGACACACTGGTGGTTTATTATCCTAGCAAATATTTAACTCATCAGGTCAAGTCAGAGATACCTCAATTGTCTAAGGACCATTAATTGCCTGCTTTCTGCATTTATTCATTTGTTCATTCAACACATTTTCACTGGCTGCCTACTATATGCTAGATATCATTCCAGAAACTGGGAAACTAGTAAAAACAGACAGATTCCTGCTCTCATATTGCTTATTGAGCAGAACTGGGAAGAAAAGACATTTCTTTGAGTAATTTCATGTGTATCAAGTGCAAGGACCATGCCTATTTTAATCACTGATCATCCAGTGAGCAACACTTAGTAAACTTACTGACAGTATAAGTAACTAATACTTTTTTGAATGAATTAATGAGTAAAGAAAAAGGTGCCAGTGTGAAAATATATGATAATCTGATCTAGCCTAGCAGGTAACTTTGTGGTGCTTTGGAATTACTAGGTAGAACAATGCAGCCAGAAATGGAGGTTGTGAATATTGTGAGATAAAGCCAGAAAGGCACCAGGGCCAAGAATGTGAGGACATACAGCCATGCTAAGCCCTGATAAGTCCCTCAGCTGACCGGAACTGGGACACAAGCCAACCACTAAAATAATCACCAAGAAAGAGAATAGGACCCATTTCGTCAATTCAGTTAGGATTTACCTGAGTCATAGAAGGTACAGATGGACAAGAGAACAAAAATCAGGGCTCTGTGGCATGGGAAAAGGGCAAAAATAAATGTTGGCATCAGTCAGCAGTTGGGTGTTAAATTATGTATGTATGTATGTATGTATGTATTTATTTATTTATATTTTTTTCCTATATTGATTTTAGAGAGAGAGGAAGAAAGAGGGAGAAAGCGAGAGAGAGAGAAACATTGATGTGAGAGAGACACATTGAGTGGCTGCCACCCACACGACCCCAACCAGGGCCAGGGACAAACTGCAACCAAGGCACGTGTCCCTAGCGGGAACTGAACCCGGGACTCTTTGGTCTGCGGGCCAACACTCTAACCACTGAGAAAAACAGGCTAGGGCTGGGTGTTAAATAATTTTAAGTGGAGGAAGAAGAGGATCAGATTTATTTGAAGCAGTTTTTTTCCCCCTCCTCCCTTCTCCCCTCTTCTTTTTTTTGTTACTTCTTGTTATCCTTCCCTCTCTGCTTTTCCCTTCTCTTCCTTCCTTCCTCCCTCTCTCTCCTTCTCTCTTTACAGCCAAAAGACTTCAAAAGGCTGAACCAATTTTCTTCCCACTGCTGACCAATCCTGACCTGTTCACCCAGCTTGCTGACATTAGTGTGGACCTGACTTTGATCCATCATGTGTAGCTATAGTAAGCTGGGTATATCATTACCAAGGTGGGTGCAGCATGTACAGAGCAGAGCCTCCCCCGCCCCATACTCAGCACACCATCTCCAGCCAGCCGAGTGCTCCTAACTATTGAGCCCAGCTACAGCCATCCCTGCAGCATCACTCAGAGACTTTGCCTTCCTAATATAAAACAGATACAACTTATGGTTTTCTATTTTAAGAGATTTACCCCATTTCTTCCCTGATCTCATGCCCCAGAGCCTAGAAATTTTGCTGGGTTGCAAGTTCAGCTTGGTAGTTAAACTTTAACATTTAGCATTCAATCTTTGGTCTCTTAGTCTATATCATCATTGTTGTCATCATCATCGTCATCATCATCACTACTACTACTTTAACACCACTCATCCATGTTTCTGCTCCAGTTTCTGCATTTGTAGCTCTACCATCCTCCTGCTCTCACAACCCCTAGTTCTTAAAGACCATGGGAGTAGATTGGATCTTCCATGCTCTTGCCTCCACTTGATATCTGTTTGCTGACCCACTCCCTGTCCCTCTGTTTCTTCTCCTATGTTGCCTAAAATTCTGTTGTATGATGGTCAAGGGTCCCTGTTGGCTTAGTCCCATTTGGTCAATGATTGTTCCCTGAATGGCCTCCAAACTCATTAACATTGAAATGTGCTGCACATAACTCTTTCCCAATCAATGACTTTCTTTCTACATTTATTAGAATCTGTGGCCCTCCTAGAAAAGGAAATGACAGGAAGTAGGACAAATGAGAGGTGGCACAAGTGTCTTCTGGGAGTTGAAGTCCCAACAAATAAAACACAGTGAGTGGGAATGGAGACAAAGATTATAGGGGTCTCACACAATGCAGAAAGTAGTTTTTAATGTACTTTCAGTAATTTTCAGTAGTTTAGAATGTTGGGGGAAATAAATAATGGTGAATGAAGCAAATCCTAACTCAATCCAGCAGACCAACATTGGATAAATGCCTCTTAGATACCAGAACTTACTGAGTCATACATAATTACCTGCTCCTCCTACTGAGTAGATATGAATGTACCTGAGTGGACCCTGAGCTGAACTCACACTGATCCATTTATCCTTTCATCTGGGGAACCCCAGCTGCACCTATCACTCTTTGTTCTAGGATAACTAAATTGCTTGAGGCAGACACTATTGGTTGATATCGACAATCATTTCTGCTATTTTCCCATACAGCAGAGTCCTGACTTTTGTTCTGTTGTCCATATCTCTGCAACATGATTTAGGTAAATCCTAATTGGTTCAAATCTGCTTCTGTTCTCCTTGCTAGTGATTCTCTTAGTGGTTCCAGTCAGTGAAACAGTATGTGAAGCTGTATTTTCCTGTTAAAAGAATTGGACTAGGAAGTAAAATCTCTCTCCTCAGCTGGAAGGGATTCTTGGAGTGGTTGCAGCCATCTCTAACCATGAGGGGAGGTGGCTAATATTTCAAGGGTGGTAGAGCAGAAGGGTGGAAGAATCTGGAGCCCTGGCCATGGAATCCAAGAACTTCCTTGATTCCAGGTCTCCTATTATATGAGTAAAATAACACTTTGATTTTGACTCAATTTGAGTTTTGTAACTTGTGATGTGTATTAGTTTGTTATTATTGTTGTAACAAATTACCATAAACTTAGTGGCTTTAAACAACACAACTTTCAGATATAGTGAATGGAGTAGGCTGAAGGAAGACTTGGCCTAATATTTTAAGGAGAGAATCTCTTGAGGTTAAGAGTGATGTAATGAGATATAAAAAGAACATGCTGCAGAGGAAAGAGTGATAATTGAGAAGAAAACACTAAAAAAATGATCACTAAATTAAAATCTATGTGAGAAGCAACAAAGGACTGAATTGAAACTTCAGAAAATTAAAGCGAAGCGGGTATTTTGAAATTTTCTTTTAGGAAGAAGTGGTGAGTGATAAAGTAGAAAGCCATAAAGAGATGAACACTCTAAGGGAAGTATGATAAAATGGAGGCGGTTCAATCAAAGAATTACTAAGTTGCTGAAGGGAGAAGCATTAAGATTAAAAGCCAAATGATAAATTGGAAAGCGCTGGCCACATGTGGTAGACCAGTTGTAAAATTCTTATATGATAGAAAACTTTTTCAATAATGTCAAAAAATAGGCAAAGTACTCAAATAGATTATTACATAAAAAAAATATAATGCCTAATACATCTGTGATAAAATTTCAACCTCTCTAAACATCTTGGAAATTCAGATTAACATGAAATATTATCCATCTACCAAATGATATATAAAAATACTAATCTTCAATTCTGGCAAGGATGTGGTGACCTGAACATTCTCATAAACAGTTGATGTGAGTATAAATCACCCCAACCTTTTTAGAGGCAATTTTGTAGTATGTGTCAAGAATTGTAAAAATCTTTTATCTGTTTTTCTATAAATTCTAAGGAAGTAATCAGAGTAATGGAGAAAGGTTTAGGTTTAAAGATATTCATTGCAGCTATCAGTAATAGTTAAACAAATAAAAACTCTGAATATCCAACAATAGGGGAATACTTACATTCTTGTACATCTAGATTAGGGGTTGGCAAACTTTTCCTGTAAAGGACCAAATAGTAAATATTTTAGGCTTTTCAGGACATATTTTCTCTGTTGCAATGACTCAACCCAGCTACTTAGTGTGAAAGCAGCCACAGACTACATATACGTATGCCTATGTTCTAATAAAACTTTATTTAAAAACCGGGCCAAATTTGATCCATGGGTCATAGTTTGCCAACCTCCGATTTATAT